TTCTAAATTTCAAAAATGGAATTCATTTTTCAAGTGACTAGCTCTCAGGACTTTTTCCAATGGTGTTTGAGACAGTGGTGAATTCTGACATCTCCCCAAGGTCTGGAAGCCCACAGGTTTGAAAGCACAGTTGACTTTGTGTGCCAGATCTCCAAACAAGAAGGACCAGTGATGGACATGGCTCTCCAGGGACAAAATCAACAACTGGAAGGAAGAAAAAGTCACCCCACTAACTCTGGAGAATTAGCTGACAAAAATTTTATGTAGAGAAAAAATACTTGGAAAATAGTCTTCTGAATTAAACTACATTCGTGTTCTTGAGAGATCAGGAAATAAAACAATTGATTTTGACCAGGTACCTTTCTCATGAACCAAGTTCATTACCAAAATTTTAGGGGTGTCATTACTTAGACTGCGCTATGATGATCCTCTTAAATAAGATTTTTCTCTTTCTGTTAAATATGGTTTTCATTGATTTATGGATGTATCTGGAACTGTTGTTTTGGCAGGTTTTACAAAGTCTTCCCTCTGTGCCTCCTCAGAGGCCATTTGGATGCAGCAACTGTGTTTGATGTTTATAAAGAAGTTCTTGAACTCAACATAGCCTGGAAAACTTGAAACTTCTTTTGCAAGAATGAAGTTAGTCGTAAATGCTGCCAGTTTATTGTAAAAACCACTTGAAGTGCAGTGACTAACCAGGAATGCTGAGCTATTTTTACTTCAGATCTGGTCTCAGGTGTCAGAGATAAAGATTAGTTCATCCTTAGCAAGTGGCCACAGGGACGACTTCCCAATAGCAGAGCAGCCTTTGGTAGCCAGAATTCTGGTAAACAGTCCTGCAGTGGGATCATGGAAAATGCTTTGTACTGCATTCAGCAGAGTTGGAGGGCTTTCTTCCTTCCCACTCCCTGTTTCCCTTCTTTGAGCTATTTTCCATAGGCCAGCATTGGTTTCCATCAACACTACATATACCCTATGAGAATAAATGAATTACACAAGACTGTTGGCAACATGGCCACCAGCCCTGCTCTGGAGGGCAAATGACCCCTGGGGGTGCCCTTCCACAACACTAGCATCTAAGGTGGAAGTCACCATTCTCCACGTTTCCCTTCTTCCCTCTCTCTTTCTGCCATAGAGGACTCCTTGCACAAAAGACCGACGTGATAGCCAGACCATCTAGGCAGCTATGAGGATGGGTCTCTCTTTTGTCCTGGGAGAGGGAGATGACAACTTGACTCATGATCAGGCACTGTGTTCTGTATGGCAGGCAGCATCAGAGCTCCAATTCATTTCTTCTTTTTTTTTTTTTGCGTTGGAGTCTCACTCTGTCACCCAGACTGGAGTGCAGTGGCTGCTCCCGGCCATCCCAGCCTCTGGCGATCCTTCCGCCTCAGCCTTCCAAGTAGCTGGAACTACAGGCATGTGCTACCACGCCCGGCTAATTTTTTGATTTATTGTAGAGATGAGGGCTCACCAAGTTGCCCAGGCGGGTCTCAAACTCGTGGGCTCAGGCAATCCACTCACCTCAGCCTCCCAAAGCACGAGATTACAGGCTGAGCCACCAAGCCCGGCTCTATTCATTTCTTGTTCATTTTGTAGCTTTGTGCATCTGCACTTGTTGGCAGGAGGATGTAAGAACTCTGCTCGTTACAGTTACCCAGTTATGATCCTGATGTCCTGAGAGGGTGGCTTTGACCTTATCATTCCCAATCCTGGCACCCCCAGAACAGGCTGGAATGGTGGTAGAGGGAGAAAGTGACAGCACATGGGCTCTCTGTAAGTGGCAGTCAACAGAATCCACAGAACAAAGAAGGACCTAAATTGAGCACAGGAGAGGACCAGTCTTCCTGAGATGTTCCCAGTGTGCCAAACCCTGAACTACTTGGGAGAATCCCCCTCATGGTTGCTCAGCGAAACCACTAAAGATGCAGAACTTCAATTCCACATTTCTTTGAATTATATAGATTGCAGACAAATCTGACTTTGATTCTATTCAAAGAAGATTCAAGTTTGAATGACTCCCAATTTAAGTGACGGCACTTAAAAATAACACGTTTTATTATCTAAGAACGAGGTTTAATTTTATCTTGAAAAGATAACTGGTTTGGGTGGATCAGAGAGGTATGGAACAGGGTGGGCTTAATCAGTAGCTACAAAGGTTTTTGCAACTGTGGTCTAACTGCAGATATCCTCTAAGAAACATGGGTTAAGATCAGATTTCATCTGTGAAACACGCCGATGCCAAATGAGACCTATGAAGTGTGTGAGCAAAGTTCCTAACAGAACATTGTTTCCTTGAATCTTGATGTTTCTGCATTTTGTATCTTCATGCTGAGAAATGGCCTCAACTGTAATAAAATAAAAATCCCATTTCCCATAAAAACAGCATGTGCTGGACATTGTGTTGAGAGTCTTAGTCACCTTGTCTCACAGATCTAGATTATCTCACAGATCTAGACTTTGTTAGTTTCACTTACAGATTAGGCAACTGAAACTCAGGACAGTTGAGTAACTTGCCCTGGATCCCACTACTGGAGCTGATCTGAACCACGCCCAACCACAGAGCCTGTGATCTGAATTAACCCCCGAGGCTGGTTGCCTCTCAGGTCCATATTCACAAGAAAGGATTTTGTCCAACATCTTCACTCACTGCTGGTCACATCACTTGGGACAGGCCTCATGACCCTGCTAAGTTAGCACAAACTCTGATGTCTGCCCTGGAAACTGGGGCGGGGTGTTTGGACCCTTCCACTCCAGGGAAGAAGAGCACTCAGAGACTTCCCAGAGGACAGAGAGGGGACTGCCACCTTACTCGGGGCATGGGAAGGGCTGCGTATTTGCTCAGCACTCTAAAAGGTGACACTCAGCAATGGGGTAGCACAGATCAGAATTAAGCCAATGATTTTGGCCTTAAAAAGGGTTTCTCCATCCCAGATTGGGAACAACCCTTGCTGACGCAAAGATTCTCTGGACTGAGGAACACTCAGTTCATAAACCTCCCAGGAATTAGACCCACATCCTGCATTATCTTTGTGGCTCAAGACACCACACATGGAGCTAAGCAGCGAGATTCAGGGGATGGCAAAGATGGGAAGGGTTCTGAGCTGTGGAGTCCAATCCTCTTACTTTACAGGTGGCCATAAGTGGGAAGAGAGATTGTCCTGGCAGAGTTGGAACTGGAGCTAGGTCTCCTGACCCCCTGGCTGGTACTGGGCCTCACATCACCAGTTGTCCTGTAGGCAGAGGGAACCAGTGTTAGCACAGAGTGTGGAAGCAGCTCCACACTTGGGAGAGTGCTGAGATGGTGGGTTCCGTGCCTGGAAGGGTTTCCTTGATCATTAGTGGAATGAATTAACGAATGAACCATTTCCCAATGCAAAAGTCTTCCTATGACAGTCACCCAGATGTGTTCCTGAGCTGCTGCGACTCAGCAGAAGGTAGCCAGCTAGAAGCAGAGCTCTTTTTTTGAAAAAGAAATGGTTAAGTATATGAAACAGTCTTGGTGAAAGCTTTCACAGAGGCATATAACCATTAAAATAATTATACAGATGACAGAGCAACATGGAAGGAAGAAAACAATTATACAACATTGAGTCTACACCACGAGTGCAACTGTACAAAAATTATGCTAATATAGAAGTGGAAATTGTTCACACGGGCTGCATTTATTGAACACTCTCTTCCCCTAAGACAGGCTCAGTATGAAGTCCTTCTCAGAGGTTATCTCATTCAGACGCCCTAAAACCCTCTCAAGTAGAAACTATTGGAGACCTTGAATTCTGGGATGCCTGACTCCAGAATCTACACTCTTAACCACTGATGTGAATCTGTGGCAGGAATGGGAATTTTGGGTTTTTTCCTTTTCTTTTACTGTTACTTGACTATTTAAAAGAAAAAAAAAATACTCCCAATAAATACTAACTGGTCTGGAAGCCAATACCAAACTCACATTCTGAGGATGACTTTACATTCAGGAAAAGAAAACATCTACAATTCCTTACCGCGTGGTGGCGCCAAAGGATGTGCGCACCTGCTCGCTGGAAAAGCTTGTCTCTAGAGCCTGGGAACGTTGGCTTCTTTCCCAAGCTGACAATTATGAGACTGCAGTTCCTGGGGTCTGCACCCTCATCGGCCCTCCCATGCCTGCCATCCACAGCTGACACACATGTCCACGGGTGTCCTTGGAGCTCTCCCTACTCTGACCCCATAGACAACAGCAACCTGGCTCACCCGCTCCTCATTCTCTGCCACCAGATTGAATTTCCTTCCAGAAGAGGGCCCAGGCCGGAAGCCTACAGGCCAAGAGGGACTCCTGATCCCGACTGTTCTTTCATCTAGGTTTTGAATGAATTGAATAAGCTTTACGTGGACTAAGAGGGGTCTAAGTCAGCAGTTACCACGTTGTTTTCTAGGGAAAAGGAATGCTGAGGGCTAAGAGAAAGGCTTGCAACCCATCTCATGAGCAAGATGGGCATGGTCTGGTTAGGTGATGCAACTCAAATATGCAACTGAATTGAATTTGAGCTGAAATGTATCGAACCCATCTCCCAAAGCCCCAAGCCCTGTGATATTATGAGAGAGACCAGTGGTAATAGTGGAATTTAACTGTTAAACAAACTCCACACCAGCAGCATAAGAACTCTGCCACCTGAGACCCAAGCCCCACCACTACACAATATGTCCACGTAACAAATGCACATGTGTGCCTCCTCAATCTAAAGTAAAAAAAAAAAGAAGAAGAAGAAGAAAGAAAGAAAGAAAAGAACCTTGCATCCAAATCTTAGCCTCTGAGCAGGTCTGGAATCCTGGTCAAGATGTTGTCACAGACTCGTTAGATGTTCCACCAGCCTGAAATGAGAATTCTGTGCTGGGTTATGACTTGGTGGGGTTTTTAGGTTTTGTTGTTGTTGTTGTTTTGTTTTTGAGAAAGCAGGATTTATTGAGAGGACAGAAAAGTTCCTAGAGCAGGAAGGGACCCGAGGGGGTTGCCATGACTTAGTTTAATGAGAATTAGAATTAGCCCTACTCTTAGCAGACAGCATCATGGCGGAGTCCCCCAGCCCAGCCTCCCTGGTCTTCCCCATCCCTTAGTGGGATGGACTTTCTCATCTGCATACACAGCACTTCATCGATGTAGATGGTGTTGTCTTTCACCTGGATCTCTTCCTGCAGGGCAAGTTGTCTGCGATTCAGCCCTTTCAGCTCTACCTGAGCTTGGGCTAGGGTTTCCTTTAATCTAGAGGAAGAGGAAGAATAGAAAGGGATAATTTCTCTCTCGGCATTACTTTTTTGGGGGGGGGGAATGTATCTAGGTGTTCAGTGCAGAAGCTGAATTGATATATGTTTTTCCCCTCCCTCCCCCTCTGTCCTCCTTAAGGCAGAGATTTCAAATTGGGGCCACAAGCTATAGGCATGGCGCAGACACCTCTATGACATGCCAACACTTAAAACTGAAGATTTTACCTAAACAGCTGGTTTGGGGCTTATTTAGAAATGTTTCAACATTGGGACCCATTTTCTGCATGGTAACAATTTTGGCTAGAAGTAGTGGGGACTGCCCTCTAGGAAGGAATCCTTCAAATATTATAGAGCAGGTTCCACCCACTGTGGTCGCTGTTCTAGCCCCTGCCTGAAATTCAGGTTGAGATTGAGCCCCGGGGCCCCTCTGCCCACCAGCTGCTAGCCCACCTTGCAACATTGTGGGTGATCTCTTGAACCTCCTTGATGAGCCTATATTGTGCGACGTCACGACATAGCTCCACGTTAGGCCGGTGCGTCCTGGTCTCCAGGCGTGTATGAGCCAACTTGGCTGGCCCTTCTTGGTCAAGGATGGCTTTTTCAAGAGCTGTAATGTTTTTCTCCTGGGAAGCAATCTCTTCCATGACCTTACAAAAAGGATTAGAGTAGGTGAGGACAGGCTGTGCTCCTCACAACTCACCAGCAGACAGCAGATCTGTTGTGATCATGTAAATTAGGAAAAGGGGATCTGAGGTTTCTACTTAAGCAAGACCCCAGAGCGAGACCCATCACTCGTCCCTGAAGCAGTGACTGCTAAAGGACAAGGTACACCTGACCTTAAAACCTCACAGATGGAGGGGACAAGACTGGGCGTTGTTGCCTTGTCTTGTATCCAAAGGAGCATGCCCTCAGCAAAGGGTGGCCAGTGTGGGGACCTCACTGCTGCTCAAGGCTGCCGTTGTATCTTTGTGTCATGAACAGAAAGCTGCCTGTTTTCCTATCACTCCACCCACTAGCACCAGTTCTGTTCTCTGGAAGCCTGGGGAAAGTGTGTGTGTAGTTTGAGCTGAGTTTGGCTGGTATTTTCGAGGGTAGTCTGGGCATGAAAAAGACTACTTATGAGTTATTGGGGTTTTTTAAAAAATTAATATTTAACTAGTTAAAAAAGGTATTTCTTCCTTAAGCTTTTTTAAAAATGGAAATCTCCAAACATACATAAAAGTAGATAGACTAAAGACTCTCATGTGCCCATCACCAGTCTAAGCAATGAGCAATATATTGCCAATCTTGCTTCATCTGTACCCCCCATCCCAACCCTGCCCATCAGCTTATTTTAAAGCAAATCTCAGATATGTCATTTCAGTCTTAAGTACTTGAGTGTGCATTTCTAAGATAAAAGGGTTCTTCTTTTTCTTTTAACATAACAATATCTTTATCACACTAAAAAAAGAGAGAAAAAGACTGACCCCTTTAAATCATCTAATATTTAATGTTCCAATTCTCCCAATTTTTTCACATTTTTTGGTAAGATTTGGTTTGTTCAAATCAGAACCCAAACAAGTCCACATATTGCCTTCGGCTTTCTTGAGCTTTTTCTTAACATTTCTTAAGCATTTCTTAAAGTTTAGTTCACAAATACACTATTTTTAAATTTAGCAAATGTGAACAATCACTTTAAATTGATTTTAACTAATAGTTGCTCCCACTTCAAACTTAGTTAAAATCTTTTGAACATTTACTTAAAGCAGTATTTATAAATTTGATATATACTTTTTTGAAAGATTTTAATTATCTTAAGTAAGGCCTTCTGGAGTTCTTAAGTAGATCTCATAAATTTAATACATTAAACCAGTAAAAACAATGAGTCTTAAATTCTCTTAAATATTTTTATGCTGTCTTCAAACTTAAAAGTTCCATTTAAAAGCATAATGCTAAATCAATTATTTAATTATATACTTTGAATAATCACTTTTAAAAACAGGTCAAGTTCTCTTACATTTAACAAACACTTTAAACTCTAAAATACCATAGTTCTTTAAAACAAAATTACTATGCCGGGCGCAGTGGTTCAAGCCTGTAATCCCAGCACTTTGGGAGGCCAAGGCAAGAGGATTGGCTTAGCCTATGGGTTCAAGAATAGCCTGGGCAACTTGGCATCACCTCATCTCTACAATAAATAAATAAATTAGCCAGGCATGGTAGTGTGCACCTGTAGTTCCAGCTACTTGGGAGGCGGAGGTGGAAGGATCGCCTGAGCCCAGCAGGTCGATGCTGGAGTGGCCATGAGCGTGCAACTGCACTCCAGCCTGGGCGATGGAGTGAGATTCCAACTCAAAAAAAAAAAAAAACTACTTCTATGGGTTAGATTGGGAATCAGCAAATTGCAGCTTATGAATCAAATTCAGTCTGCCACCTGTTTTTTTTTTTACAGACTGTAAAATAACAAATTTAAGTAATTGACTTTATTTTTTAGAGCAGTTTAAATTTAAAGAAAAATTGAACAGAAGGTACTGAGTTCCCATATACCTTTTCTCCTCCTTACACAGTTTCCCCTATTATTAGCATCTTGCATTGGTATGGTATATTTGTTATAATCAATGAGCCAATATTGATATATTCTTCTTTACAAAAGTCCACAGTTCACATTAGGGTTCACTCTTAATATTGTACATTCTACAGGTTTTGACAAATGTATCCACCATTACAATATCGTACAGAATAGTTGCCACTGCCCTAAAAAGCCCTTAAAACTTCCCCATTCATCTTTCCTTCTCTTCTTCGCCCACCCAAACCCCTAACAACCATTGATCTTTTTAGTCTTCATAATTTTACCTTTTCCAGAATGTCATCTGGTTGGAATCATGACTCATGCTATACAGTGTGAATTTTAGATTGACTTCTTTCACTTAGCAATATGTATATAAATCTCTCTATGCCTTTTCAAGGCTTGATAGCTCATTCCTTTTTAGCGCTAAATAATAGTCCATTGTCTGGATGTACCACAGTTTATTTATCTGTACTTATCCTGGTGGCTCCCAAGTTTTGACATTTATGAATAAAGCTTCTATAAACATTCATATGCAGGTTTTTGTGGGGACTTAAATTTTCCACTCTTTTGAGCAAATAACAAGGAATGAGATTACTGAATCCTAAGAGTATGTTAAGTTTTGTAAGAAACTGCCAAACTGTCTTCCACAGTGGCTGTACCATTTTGTATTCCTACCAGCAATAAATCAGAGTTCCAGTTTCTCCATCCTCAACAGCATTTGAAGTTGTCAGGGTTTTGGATTTTCTACAAGTGTGTAGGAATATCTCATTGTTGCTTTAATTTGCAGTTCCCTAGTGACATATGATATTGAGCATCTTTTCATATATTTAATTGTCATTTGTTTATCTTTATTGGTGAGATGTCTCTTTAGATCTTTTGCCTGTTTTTTAATTGAGTTATTTTATTTTTTATTGTTGAGTTTTAAGAGGTTTTTTTGTATATGTTGTATAACAGTTCTTTATCAGATATGGATTTTGCAAATATTTTCTCCCAGTCTGTGGCTTGTCTTTTTTTTCTCTTAAAAGAAAGGTTGTTACATTTTTTAAATGGTTGGAGAAAATCAAAAGCAGAATCTTTCATGTCATGTGAAAATTATATAAAATTCCATTTTTAGTGTCCATAAATAAAGTTGCATTAGAGCACAGCCATGTTCATTTATTTTTTTATGACTGCATCTGAACTACCACAAGAGTTAAGTAGTTGTGACAGACCGTATGTGATGCTCTCATTGCTTTGCACTATTGCCCAGAGCACTACAAATCAGTGACACAGCTAAAACTTGACAGCTTTTCAACTGTGTATCACCATACAGTGACATTTTATTTTATTGTTTTATTGCCGCTGTATCTTTATCTGCTCCTGTTGCTATAGCAAAATACCTGAGACTGTATAACTTGTGAAGAACAGAAGTTTATTTCTCATAGTTCTGGAATCTGGGAAGTCCAAGGTCAAGGCACCAGCAGATTTAGAGTCTGGTGAGGCTGCTCTCTGCTTCAAGATGGCACCTGTTTACTGCATCCTCACATGGTAGAAAGCAAAAGGGCAAAAGAGCCTAGCTAGTTTCATCCAACTCTTTTATAGGGTATTCAACTCATTCATGAAGGCAGATCTTTCATGGCCTAATCACTCCTAAAGGCCCCACCTCTTAATACTGTTGCATTGGGGATTAAGTTTCAACATGAATTTTGGAGGGACACAAACATTCAAACCATAGCACAGTCATACCCATCATGTTCAGATAGGGAACATGGTCTTTGTATGTTGCAATTTTAAGGCTCAGTGGAACAAAGGTTCTGTAAATCAACTAGACGTCAAACTATTGTATTTATTATGCAATGACACCACAGCCATGCTGAAAGAATACAATACACATCGACATTACCAGACTAAGCACTCAACACAATATTCTCAACTCACAGGAAAGTAGTGATCAGAAAAATTTAAACAGTATCTCATCATTATAGAATCTTCACACAAATGAAAATGAGACTGCAAAGTAAGCTTCCAAGTGACTCATCTGTTAGCCAAGCAAGGAAATCCATTTACTAATAATGGATTAATTAAATCATGTTTGATTGCAACAGCTGAGGATGTGTGTCCAAAGAACATAAACTCATTTAAGACTATTAGTCCTACTGCAGGAAGAGTTGCTCAGAATTAAGGACATGGGGAGGAACTTCAACAATCACTTTTTAAAACTTAGGCAAATGATTTTGAATGGTTTTCCTTTGCTCTTAATGTGTTGACAGGTGTTTTGATGCTGCTTAATTGTTGTTTATTCAAGGAGTTGAGTTTGAAGTGACTTAAGGATTAGCCTCTGTGAATGGTCTGCATGAAATAACTATTTTCAAAATTACACCTGAGGATGGTGGTACAAATACGTGCTGAATAGAAAAAGGCTAGGTTAAAAAGTTTACATAGCCTGTGACAATGTAAGCTACTTAAAGCCTATGACAATTAATTGTATTACTCATCAGAAGATACTTTGCAAAAACATTTGGATCTACCAGGTGTTATTGAACCAGTATCATCAGGATGAACTTCCTTGGCTCTTGTACACCTGACCATCATAAGCTCTGCACATTTTTGTCATAAATAGACATGGAAAATCCTGACTTGCCCTACTACTCAGCAGGTCAATGGCTTAGCAGTTACATAATTTTCTTGTGAGTTATTCTAGCTTAGAGCCAAGATCAAAATTTTGCTGAATAAAAACTACCTTAACTATTATCAAACATTAAATGGCTTTGGAAACTAGCTTTTGCTGAAGACTAAATAATCTTTCTTAATGAATCCAACCTAAACCTACAAGGCAAGACAGCATTTATATGCAAAGTTTATGCTTCAGTAAAGTCATTTCAACAGCTAACATGATTTTAATTACAAAGAATGTCAAGCTGCTTTATACACTTCCTGTGCTATCAGAAGTTAAAACAAGAAGCAGGATCTCCATTCCCACACAAAACAGGTATTTTCCAACTTCCAGCAGTGCTTTTTGCACCTCAAAAAAAAAATGCAAAGAAAATTTCCAAATTTCAAAATCTACATACCTATGCAATTGAGGAGCTTCTGCCTAACCTTCAACTAGAAGTGATTCAT